AGAGAATAGGAAAGATAAAATGGAAGGCAGATTACCCTTTATCCTTAAATTAATAGCACAAAGTATCTGAACTCAAATGATCTCAACATGGAATGCAGCCTTGAATCATTTGCTCACCTAAGAAATCTCATTAGAAGTCATAAGAAATAATATATCTGAAAGTTGCTTAAAAAATAACCTATCCATTCTTTAGACTTGCAAATTATTCTCTTAGGTTAAACCAGACTATTAAAAATTTATAAACTTAAACTGCATTATTTTAACTTCACAAAATTGCTTTTACTCTATTTCATCTTGGCATTTGCATTCTTAGGCATGTTATGAAAAACCCAGCCAGATAGTTTGTTGTGTGACTGTAGAATATATTTAAGAACATTATCTACAATATTACACAATTGTCTTTTGATGACAAATTCTGGAAATTATTTGTTAGTTTTCAATGTCACCAAAAGTAGTCATTATCATAAATAATTGATTTATTTTTATCTTATGGACACTGTGCTTGGACTGAATTTTTTTTTTTTTTTTACTTTGAATTGGCTGCTAATGCCTACAGTCAGATTAGCTATTCATGTCCAGCAACTTTATAGGACCGATTAAATGTATTTTTATGTAATGATTCTGGCTCTAATTTTGTTACCCAATCCTTTTCTTTTGCTCAGATTCCCCACTTGAGCTTATTTAAAAAATATAGAGAGAGGATGACCAAAAGTGTATAGACATTTTAAGAAAGAAAAATACTCCTTTTGCCCAGGATAGAGTGCAATGGCATCATCAGAGCTCACTGTAACCTCAAACTTCGGGGCCCAAATAGTTCTGTGGCCTCAGCCTCCCAAGTAACTGGCATACACCACCAAGCCAGGCTAGTTTTTCTATTTTTTGTAGATAATGGAGTCTTGCTATATGGCTCAGGCTGGTCTTGAATTCCTGCCCTCAAGTGACCCTCCTGCTTTAGCCTCCCAGAGTGCTAGAATTATAGATACAAGCCACTGTGTCTGGCTAAAAGAAAGCATTTATAATCCAGTGTTTAAGTCTGCATTGTTCAGACTAGCTACACGTGGCCATCTAAATTTTAAATTAATTAAAATACAGTTAATGTAAAAATTGAGTTTCTCAGTCATACTGGCCAGATATTAAATGCTTAGTAGCCAAATGTTAACTAGTGACTATTGTATTGATAAGCACAGATACAGAATATTTTCTTAATTGTAGAAAGTTCTATAGAATGATATTGGCTAAAGAATCAAGATTTTCAAAAAGTGGTTGGCAACAGAGCTATGGCTTATAAGTTGAGTACTGATTAGACAGGATGGGGTTGGATTGGAATAGGACAAAAGCTTCTAGGTGGGAATAGGTTATCAACCTTTCCTGTTTATCCAGGACTGAGGAGGTTCCTGAGATGTGGCGTTTTTCAGAGCAGGGGTCAGTGCAGGGAATGCTGGGGCAGTTGGTCACCCAAAGTAGGAAGGTCACTTGTGCTAAAATGACAGTGAATATGAAACCATCATATATAGAAAAACCTAAAGTTGTTAAGTTGTTAGGTGTTGCAGGATCATAAAAATTCATGGAAGTGGTTCAAAATGAGGCTACAGAAGTAAGCAAGAACCAGATTAAGGACTTGCAAGTGATACTGGAATGTGATCTTGTAGGGGCGAGAAGTTGGGAGGTATGGTAATTATGGTCAGTTTTGTCTTTTATGTATATCAGATAGGCAGTTATGTGGAAGATAGATTTGAGGGAGTACGTTTGGGAGAAATGAAGTCTGTTAATAGACTTGAAATAATATAGGTAGTAGGTATTAGAAATCCTAACTAAGGAAGTATAGTAGTAAAGATGGAGGGGAATGGCTGGATTTTATAAATATGAAGTATAATTAGTAGGTTTTGATGTTTGATTGGATGATACAGTGCAGTCAGGATATTCCAGGATTTCTAGCATAGATGATTTTCAGTACTCTTATTTCTTAGTAATAGTCTTTTTCCCCCTTCTAGTTCTTTATTCCAGTCCTTAAACCTTTTCCCTGCCTCCAATTGAAAAACGACAGGATGCATTATGAGAGGACTGCCTGGTTATAAAAGGAGCTGCAGATTTCAAGACAGAGTTCACTCCACTCCTTTTTCTCTACTTTCTTCCACATATGTTTAGCATCCGTACTCTCCTGCCTGTGTCCTTTCTTTCCAAGAAGAAACTGGATAGAAACAGTTCAGGGCAAGGAATCTTATATTCATCTGCCATTTACTGTTTGGAAACTTCAGTCTAGTCTGCAAGTTAATCTTTCTATAGACTTCTAGTTCCTTTCTTTAACCTGTATGAATTTGCCAGCTCTCAAATCAGTTTAATAAATCCTAATGTCATATTTTTTGTTTTAGAAGACTTTCTTTGTTATTATATTTTTACTTCATAATCTTCATATGAGGATGAGGATTTTTGTATATTTTGTGTATTTATCCTTAGTGCTCACCAGAGTGCTTTACATATAGTTGGTAATCGTTTAAGTACTTACAGAATGAATTAATCTTGGTGATAAATACACAATCAAAGAAAGCAGTAGCATAGTGAATATAGAGATCATTGGGTTGGGAGTTAGGAAACCTGAACTCTGGTCCTTATTTTGCCATAAAATATCTGTGTGGTCTCTGATAAGTTGCTGCCTCTTTGCTGGTCCTTGGTTTTTTCATAGGTACAACACAAAGTTCTTTATGTTGGTGGTATACAGTAAACATAAAAATATATACTGG